GCCCCTGCCCCCCCATCGGAGTTCCCAGAGCCTCCTCTGCTTGTGGAAAGCTGGAATCCCCATTCTCCGCCCGGAGTCGGGTGGCTTAATCCGGGAACCCCCAAGACTGAGAATGTGATTGTTCGTGTGCGATTAGTAGAAGTCGCCAGGATCTTGAGCCGCTGGGAACTGGCCCTTCTCGGCCTTATCTCCCAAACGTCACAGCGATGGGGGGGAGCTGGCGGGGGATGTAGGAACTGTCCCCCACTCCCCGTCTGCTGATGAGGCCACTGGTGCTGAGAGGTGAAGTGACCTGCCGGGAGAGCCAGGACCCAAAGCTAAGCCTGGATGCCTTTAGAGCACTGCCAAGCCTTCTCCAGCATCACTGAAGGAACAAGGTTAGAGCCACTGGGCAGCAGCTGGCCCAGGGCCTGGACAGGAATGGAGTGATTCCCCTGGGTCCTCACACCCATCACTGGACTGGAGGTGCGTGGCTCTGAGGACAGGCTGGCTGAGTGAAAGCCTGCTGGTGAATAAAGCACAGTATGCTGCAGCTCCCAGGAGAGAGAATGGGCAAGCCCATGGGGTGCAAGGCAGTGAGAGAGGGGCTGGAAACTGCGAGGCGGATAGATGTCTAGGAGAGACCCACACACACACCCTACATCCTCCTTGGGTCTGCAGAGCGGGGAGGCTGGACCCCAGGGCATATTCAGACTAAGAGGGTGGACATCTCAAAGGGATAAGAACAGACTACAGACCAGCGTTCTCCCCCAATACTCTGAACTGTGTCAGAACCCCAGGACTTCCCCACAGCTGAGGTTGGTAGAAAGAGGAATTTCCCACCCCCCTGTCAAATTAGAGCTGGGAGCAGATTAAATTTCATTAAAAAAAATAAACATGGCATTTCTTACATCCTGTGTTGTTATTCAAACCCATTTCATTTGATATCGAGAGAATACGTTGATGATGACCTGTCCCAAGAAAGGTTCTCAGGAGCTCTGAGGGCTTCAAAAGGGGAATTATTAGCTCCTATAACTGGCAATCCAAAATAGGGTAGACTTCAGGACATGCCTGATCCAGGAGCTCTGTCTCCAAGCTGGTAGCAGTTCCAACCTCACATGTCTGGAGGAAGAAGGGCCATCTCTCCCTGGTAGTTCTCGTAGGAGGGAAACCTGTCTGTCCTCCAAGCCTTGTGCTCCAGTCTTACTGGCCTGGATTGAACATGCTCTGCTGAACGAGTTCCTGTAGTGTGAACCAGTTCCTGTAGTGGCGGAAGGTCTGCATGGGGGCCCTTGCAGCACATGGGGGCCGAAGCAAGCACTGTGGCAGAGGGAGAGAATTACCCTTCACCTATCAGACTGGCCTCTGGAGCAGAGGGGAGAGGTGGTGGCCCAACAGACTCAGGGTGATATTAGGAGTAATGCTGGCTGGCAATCCACAGGGTCCCCACCTGCCCTCCTGGACTGGGCAGCTGCTCAGAGCCGCCTTGAGAGCACCTGGGGCTTCGGCTCCATACAAACCCCAGTAGGGTCAGGTCTTGGGCCATCCCCTGGGTTTATGGGCTGAGGGCCAGGCTTGTGTGGTAAACTGATGGCAACAATGTCTCCCGGTATCCATGCTCCTTGCCTTGTGACCCCTGCCAAGGCAAGGAACAGAGTAGGAAATAGGCAGAGTCTATCTCCCCCAGTCCTTGAATCTGGGCTGACTTGCTTTGGCCAATAAGGTTCAACAGGGCTGGCTGTGCACCAGTTTGGAGCCTGGACCTCAGGTGGCCTTGGAGGTCCCTCTTGTTCTCTACCTGGCCGCAGTGTGGGCATGTCCAGGGTGGCCTTGCTGGGATGACCTGGTTATTCTCAGAACAAGAGAGACAAGCTGGGCTCTCTTTTCTGGTTGCCAAATCCATGCCCAAGTCCAGTTCTGGGAGCTGAACTCAAGGAACCCACCACCAGATTCTCTAATCCCAATTCTGATATGCAGCCCCACCCAGGGCTGGCATGCACCTGTGTTCACAGTGTTGCGTCCTCCCAACTCCCACCTTCCCGGAGAAAGGTACTGCTATTATCTCCATGCTACGAGCCAGGGAACCGTGAGACTTGCCTGAACCATGGAGCTGGGATTCAGTCTCAGGCAGGAGGGATCCAGGGCCCACACTCTCTTCTTGATTCTGGGAGTTGCACCAGATGCCCCAGAGACCTCTAGGCTTTTGCCTGGGCCGTGGCCCCTTTCCCAGGACCGGGCTGGACCGGACCTGGGCGAGAAGAGTACTCCACGGGTTCAGTCCTTCCCTTCCTGACATCTATTGTCTTCGGGATAATCCAAACTCTTAGCCTGGCATGTGGGCCCTCCAAGGTCTGACTAGTGCTTTCCCCGACCCCCAACCTCTCCCAACCTCTGAACCCGTGGCGCACTGGGCAGCCTCCAGTTTTCTGGACATGCTAGCCCACCTTTCCCCATCCAGGCTCCCTCTTCCTGGAACTCTCTCCTCCATTCTAGTCTTTTCAGTTCGCAGGTCGTTTCCTCCGGGGAGCCCTCCCAGACGTCCTGGTTGAGTGCCTCCTCCGGGATCCCGAAGATGGGCCGGGCTGTACTTCCCTCGCGTCTCCACCAACAGCCTGGCAGAGCCCGGGATCGCAGGGACCAGGCGCAGGCCGAGGGCCTGGCACGTCGTGGGGCGCGGGCGCCCGGAGGACCTGCAGATCCAGGCCGATAGTAGAGACCCCAGGAAACTGGCTGGGAGAGGCGCGTCCGGCTCCGCGCCGCGAGCCGGGGAGCCGGAGCCCAGACCACGACTCCCGGGAGGCCTTGCGGGCCGAGGGGCGCCTACCGCTCTCTCGCGGGAAGGCAAGAGCTTGAGCTCACGAGCGTGGGCGGAGCCGGAAGGAGGCCCATTTCAAAGTGGTAATAGATGGTTTCTTATCCAATAAGATTGAAAATATACCTCCTCAACCGGCCGACCACGGGAGTAGGGACAGCGGTGGCCAATAGGGACGCGCGGAGGGCGGAGCCGAGGTCTCCGGAGCGGAAGTGGGTCTCTGTTGAGGCGGCGGTGTCTTGTTGAGGGCTTCTCAGCGGCTTCAGAAGGTCCTTCCTCGCTTGGGTGCGTCGACCGCCGCGCCTGCCGAGCCTCACCAGCGCCAGGCAGGGCCAGACTTTGCGGGGAGGGGGCGGCAAGGCAGGGCCGGGCGGATTCGGGGTTCGGGCGGCTTCGCGGCCTGCGGAGGCCTCGGCGCCGCGGCCGACCACGCTCGGGCCCCAACCTCCGACCGGGCCTTCCCGGGCCCGCGGGGCGGTTCGCCTACCCGCCCGCCCCGCTCTCCGCGCAAGCCCAGCTCGGCGCGGGGACGGAAGTGGGGAGGCCCCGCCGCGGGTGCCGGCCGCCCGGGCAGGCCGCGACGCCTCGTCTTAGCGTCGCCGGGGAAACTGAGGCTGGGCCGGGAGGGACGCGCCCAAGGTCACTCGGAGAGCCGGGCGGGGCGCGGGGCGCGGGCCTGCGCCGGCGTTCGGGAAGACCGGGCGAGGGTTTGGCCCCCACCGAGACCGCCGCCTTTGTGTGCTCGCGCAGCCGCTCCGCCATCGTGGGCCTGCGAGTCGGCTCGGGCGGCCGGGCGGAGTCTCCTCCGGGCTAGGACGGGGCTGGGGCGCCCGTCGGGGGCAGAGCTTAGCAGGTCCTCGGGTTCCGGGCGTTGGCCGGGCGCGTGGCCGCCGAGACCTGCGGCCGAGACCACCGCGGGCGCCTGGAGACAGGTGCCTGCAGCACAGGACTCAGTGGACGCCACTTTCCACCCTTTGACCCGTCGAGGGAGAAGGGGAGAGTACAGAGCCTTGGTAGGGGTTTTTGTGAGGTTTGGGCTTTTGTGTAACTCCAGTCCCTTCCCATCGACGGTCACGGCCATACCTTCCTTGTGCTTCTGCGCCACGTTCTCGGAGCCAGACCTGGGGTCTCAGCTCTGCGGTCCTGCATTCGCTGAGGCTGCCTGAGTGGCCGGGGAGACCGAGGTGGTCTCCCCAAGGTCACAGCCTCGGTTCCCTTACTGCGGAGCTAGCCCTTTGAATTCAGTGACCAGGAGTTTGCTAATGAGAGGCAGAAACGTTGAAGGGAATCGTTTTGCTTTGTCTTTCTGGTCGTTTGTTTTTTGATGGATGGGGGGACATATTGGGTAGTTTTGTGTATGAGTTTGAGGTGAAATGGGAATATTCAAGTAGAAAGATGTGTAGCTGGCTTCTGTATTGCGTGAACTTGAGTTTCCAACTTTGACTCACGTCTTGCTGTAATCCAGTATTTATAAACCTTTTTACAACGACGACTCCGCCCCCCGCGCACACCCGAGCTTTTTTACACGTTGTTTTCTTGATTGCCCACTCCAGGAAATTTTAATGCTTCTTTCACACTGTATGCCCTTCTTATGTGCTATATGCATGTTTATGCTTTGTACATAAAAAGAGGGGGCTTTTTTCGCCCCCTTTGAGAATGCGTACGTTAATTTTTTAAGTCATCACATTTTGAGGTCTTCTGCATGCCAAGCTTTCTGCTTGCACAAAAATAGGCATGGTACAGGCCCAGGAGCCAGAGTGGAGAGAGTGAGAGACATTCCCTGAGGTTGAAATATAAATAGTAGAAAGGTGGGACTGGAGAGGTAAGCAGGAACTAGATCACAAAAGGTCTCCGGTGTTCCTCCACAATAAGGAGTTCAGAAATTATCTTAAGGCCAGGTGGGA